TCGCATGAGAGTTTTGAATTCAGCGAGGAAAGGCATTCTAGAATGATGTCTGTTCTAATTTAGAAGGAGTTGAAGAGAAGGAGATCTGTAAAAGCAGGGTAGGTTTTCCATGGTTGCAGAGTCGATTCTGGCTCCTAGTGACTTTGTAGGGCAGACTGGAACTTTTCCCATAGGATTCCCAAGGTTGTAAATCTTTAGGGAAGCCTACTACCACATTTTCCTCCTGAGGATCAGCTGATGGCTTCAAACCATTGACCTTTTGGTTGGCAGCTGAGTGCCTTTCCCACTGTGCTGCCAGGGTTCCTAAGGTGGCGTTAAAACCAAAAATTGAACCGACATCAAGTCTCTTCTAACTCTAGTGACCCTATATAAGCTTTCCAAGCCTATACATCTTTATGGGAGGAAATAGCCCCACCTTTCTCTATTGCAGAAGCTCGTGGGGTTGAAGTGATGTCCTTGCAGTTAGCAATCCAGGACTTACCTCATCTCGTGCCTGAAAGTTCCATCCAGTAGAGTTAGATGAGCAAATTTGTTAAGTCAAATGACTAGACTGGTGAGCTCTTAAGGCCCCTTCTAGCACAAGCCTTCTCCTCTGTCTTGCCTCTCCTTGTCTTCTCACTCTCTGTTTTGTGTTTTCGCATGTGTGTGGCCTGCTTGGTACAGTGGGAAGAAGTCAGTGGCTACGATGAAAATCTGAACACCATTCGCACCTACCAGGTGTGCAATGTCTTCGAGCCCAACCAAAACAACTGGCTGCTCACCACCTTCATCAACCGGCGTGGGGCCCATCGCATCTACACAGAGATGCGCTTCACTGTGAGAGACTGCAGTAGCCTCCCTAATGTCCCCGGATCCTGCAAAGAGACCTTCAACTTGTACTACTATGAGACTGACTCCGTCATTGCCACCAAGAAGTCCGCCTTCTGGTCTGAGGCCCCCTACCTCAAAGTAGACACCATTGCTGCCGATGAGAGCTTCTCCCAGGTGGACTTCGGGGGAAGACTGATGAAGGTCAACACAGAAGTCAGGAGCTTTGGGCCTCTTACTCGGAATGGTTTTTACCTCGCTTTCCAGGATTATGGAGCTTGTATGTCTCTCCTTTCTGTCCGTGTCTTCTTCAAAAAGTGTCCCAGCATTGTGCAAAACTTTGCAGTGTTCCCAGAGACCATGACCGGGGCAGAGAGCACATCTCTGGTGATTGCACGGGGCACTTGCATCCCCAATGCAGAGGAAGTGGACGTGCCCATCAAACTCTACTGCAATGGGGACGGGGAGTGGATGGTTCCTATTGGCCGGTGCACCTGCAAGCCTGGCTATGAGCCTGAGAACAGCATTGCCTGCAAGGGTAAGCTTGGGACCTCCGAGGCCGTGGCTTTCCGTCCACTTGGGTCGCAGTGAGTCTTCAAGGTGCCTCCACCCTCCAGCTCTGAGTCACACCAGAGCAGAAATAATCTAGTGTCTTATTAGAAAAACGATGGCGAGGGTCTAGAAAACCAGGGTCTGACAATTTTCTAATTGTGTTCCACCAGATTGTCCCCTGTTCATGATGGGAAGTCAAGATGGGCATAATTTTAAAGAGTGGATAATAACCTAATAGCCACTCAGTTATATTTAGTGTTGGGACACGCCCCTCCCACCCCCACACACATACACGCACAGCGTCCTGTGTTCAGCCCTAAGCCTCTAAGGCATGGAGAATCTGCGTTGCCGTGGACAGTTCACTCATGGGTAATTGAGAATGACAGCATTTGGGAAATATGTTTTGTTCGTTTCAGTCCAACTCCCACAGCACTAAACTTGGTACTGAACCCACGTAGCTCATTAACTCAGCCCTCTGGCTTGGCTGTCTTTCTCCAGGGGCTGGATGCCAGGCCCCGGGGCAAGGATGAGGCCTGGCTTTACAGGACATACATCCTAGAAAAAGATTATGCTATCGGACTGGGAGTGGGGCTACCCCCTGTGTTGTGTTACCTTGTACTTCTGCACAATATCGAAGGGCACAAACTTTCCAGCTTGGGGTACCAGCATACGGGGTGTCTGGTTCTTCTTAACCCTAGAGAGGACATGTCCAACACGTGGTAATCCATGCGATGAACTAGCTCCAGGTTTTCCTGCTCTGGGAGTGAATAGGAGGGTCTGGAGGCCTCACCGCTTACCTTTGGCCTCAGTACATGGTAGCTCAATGTGGGGAGAGCCCAGGGCTTGGGAAGAGAAGCCTGTTTTTCATTCTTAAAATTTGCTTTTGGCTTTCAAAGGCTCTGATTCTGTTAGGAGCGAGCCTTCCCACATGGCTCTCAAAAAGAACCCCGTGACCATCCTATGACATTAGGGTGGTCACCTGTCCTTTGAGGACAACTCAGAGCGCAGGAAGGTAAGAGCTCCTTCTTTGTGAGCATCATGCCAACTGGCTCTCTATTAGCATCCCGGGCTCGAGCCCCCAGACCAGCCCGTGCAGGTTTGCTCCCCACTTCCTTTGCCCCCAAACACCTGCAGACAAAACACCCAGCCCGGGATCACTCATGCCCATCAGCTCTGCGATCCTTTGGACGCGGCAGCTAATTGCCTGGGCCGAGGCTCCCACACCGCCTGTTTGCAGCCCGCTGAGTGTGGAGAGCTGAGCCTTTGTGTCTTTATTGGATTTCTTGGTTATGGTGCCCGTGATGGATGGTGTGGAAACAGAGGGGAGAGTGCCAGACCAAGTGATGGATCAATGCTGACCGTTTTAAAGGCAGCCTGCTTGGTCCCACCATGCTTCTTTGTCCTGCCTGTTGGGGCTGGGGCTGGAGGAGCCCCATGGACATTTTTTGGGATCTGAGTGGGGACCACAGCACCAGGCTGCATTCTTAAAGGCACAGGTGTGGCAGCGGCCAGGCACACTTTTGACAGTCACGCTGATGAGCTCTCCCAGCTTCAGAGGGCTGTCTTGCCACACCGGCTGGCTCGGGCACTTGCATTTTTCTCATTATTTCCTGAGCAGAATGACAGGAATTGGAGCAAGCATTGATTGGTTCTGATTTAATTGGGACTCTGGGAACAGGCTCTTATTTCTTTGGGCTAATTGGAAATTTTCTCCTTTTGGGGGGTGGGGGGTAGGGGGGGTTGCAGTAGAGGTTTGTGCTGCTTGTCGGTCCCCTCCTGTGGTCGTCCAGGGAGGGCCTGTGGGGATAGAGATGTAATTCTAAGTCGTTGCTCTCCATTCACCTTACCCAACCCCAACCTCCTCCGAGTTCGGGTGAACCTTTCTAATCCAGGGATCCCGTGGACATGGGCTGAATTTGCAGATAGCTTGTCGCACACATCTTGGGGAGTGGAAGAAGTGGGGTGTCCAAGGTACCACACCTACCATCTCACTGGGCATTGTTTCTGAGAGCTGGAGACATTAAGGCAGGTGCATCATAGGTGCATCCCATGCCTTAGGCTTGGCGCAGCTGGGTGCCCTGGAAGGACAGAAAACACCCCTTTATCCTTGTCTCAGGAATTGTCAGCTACACCCCCAAATCCTTTGCCCTTGACTCTGCTGCTCGCCAGTCCAGCTGACTGAGCCAGGCCTACCCCAGGGAGGCCAGGGGGTCATCAGGCACCAAAGGGATTTTGGAGGACTTGCGCCTTTCAGTGGGGCTGGAGGTGGGAAATGGGTGTGGGAGGACTTGTGACTGGTTTCTGGGGTGTGTCTTCCTGGGAAGGTACCAGCCCACTTTGGGGTGCTGACTCTGTGTTCTCAGGTGCCACTGCAGTCCGTCACAGAAGTTCTAGGGCGACCCACCCTGTACAGCCAACTCTTTGAGGCCAGCACCCCAGGGTGTGATGGTGTCAGGGAACCATGGGTGAGAAGCAGTGAGATCCCTTGTAGGACTTCAGAGAGGCAACTCTTTCCCAACCTGGCCCTGAGGACTGGTGCCTCTAGGCTCAGCTGGGCTGAGCCCGGTGGTTCTGAGATGCATGCAGCTGTACAGAGCTGATGTGCTTTCTCTTCTGGACACTTGGATTTGGGCATTGAGGCATGTTGACTCTGGGGTTTGGGCAGGAATAACTGGCTTGGTCCATGTTGTTTCTGGGAGGACAGACTTTCAGGCTAGGCAGAGAACCATTTATCTTGATGTTCATTTTGCATCTGATAAACCCTTTCCTGTCAGAGCCCTGGTGACCAGTCACCAGTCAGGGTGTGCTGAGGCATCTGGAGAGCAGTTAGGAGTGGTCCTGGCCCAGGGCTGCTCTGTTGCTGGAAGGACGGAGCTGGAGCCGCAGAGCCCAGGAAGCTGCGGGCAGAGCTCGGGCATTAGGATGCACAGCAGTTCATCTTGGCTTTCTGGAGGGCCCCATGGCTCAAGGCCTGTTTACCCAGCATCCTTTGCACACACATGGGTGGGATGCATTAGGCAGAACCACAGCACCCCACCGACCCCACGAGTCCCCCTGACCCCATCATGCATTTATTTGTCCCTAGGACATTGTTAACTGTGAGGAAATGTTCCATCTGCCCCAACTTCAAGTTTATGCTCATAATGTAGTGGATTAATGAGCAATCCCAGCTTTGTCTGTCTCCACTCCCCACCTCCTCCCTGCTAAGGTTGATGGCTGGTGGGTTCTTCGAGGAGGCCCCCGCAGCTGAAGTCTCTCTGTGCCAGGGAGGCCCAGAGTTAGCTCTTGGCAAGCTCTCTCTCTGTGTGCCGTGGAGCCTGAACTATTGCTTCAGCCGGGGTTGGATGGGGGCAAGCGGCAGGGCCGGGACGGCGGATTGCCAGAGGAAACCTGGCCTGTACAGAGCCCTTCTCTGTCTGGGGGATGCCTCAGGGCAGCAGTGTCTCCCATGGGTGCCCTTGGATGGGCTCCGGTGTGCATACAGTCCTTGGGCAGCTGTATTCTAACAGGAGCCCGGTACCATTGGACTTGGGTATTCTTGGATTCTGAGCTCTCTCTCAGGGTCTGACATCCTCTCCTAGCACATAGCCCACAAAGTTCCCAGAAGACACTGGTTCATTAGCTAGGGTTGGGACTCAGGGTGTGGGGGTCTGTACATAGCCCGGCTGCCACCCTCCCCCAACCCCCCTGGCTCTGTGGTGTCCAGGCTGGCCTTTGCTCACCACTGCAGAGGTCGCCTGGGGGGTCCAGCACACTGTACTCTGCAGGAGTCACACAGTTCCCATGGAGGCCTCCTCTCTGGGGTGGTCACTCTCTGGGGGAAGGAGATGGGTGGACGGAGAAAAAGATGTGATGAAGACAGGAGGGTGAAGGTATGCCCAGGTATACGAAGCCGAACCTAGTGGCAGGAGCCTGCTTTGGCCCTGCCGTGATTGTGAACTTGCTGTGTGGTCTTAGGAAAGTCCCTTTCCATTGACAGCCATGGGATGCTGCCTACCTCTCAGAATGTATGGAAATCAGACGGGATATGGGAATGTTCTATAAGTCTGTTATCACCATGTATGGACAGTTGTCCATGCTTCGACCGGCTTGAACGCACACCACCTGGCTCTGGTGGATATGGGAATACGAGTCTGCAATGAAGATGGAACGTGGTGTCCTCAGTCCAAGACTTGGGCCAGCAGGAAACTTGAATGCTCACTCAACCTTTCTGCACCTGCGCAGGCCCAGCTCCTGGGTCTTCAATCAAGAACCTGTGACATCAATATCTGAGGTGGTTTACATACCCTCAGCAGGTTGGGGGTGGGTTAGCACTTGCTGGAAGACGTAGCCACCTTGAGGCAGCATGGACGTCCAGGTGGAGAGAAGGCTTCCCAAGTCTGAGAGAGAATAGCTGCCTGGAACCCAGGGGACGTTACAACTCCCCAACGAGGTTTTGTACAATAGCCTCCATGCGTCTCACCCTTTGGAAATTATGACTGGCTAGGTCTGAGGTGGGCCCTAGACAAGCAGAGGTTTTAAAGACTAGGGTCCCTGTGGGTCAGGCACGGGCAGGGGCATCATCGGGGGAGGCCACTGAAGACGACCTGGGGTCCTGGGGTTTGTAGACTTCACAGTCTAAGGGCAGAATTGGGAGGAGTCTGGGAGAGGGTCCTGTGGGGACAGGGGCTGGGCAGGCTGAGGCAGAGGATGAGGTCCACAAGCCCACAGGAGGGGCATGCACTCAGAGCACCCCTGGTCCTTGAGTTGAGGCTTGACTGTGGGCAGCCCACCAAGAGCCCCACGGAGACCGAGGTGGGAGGCCTCAGCCCCTCAGCATGCAGAAAGCCCAGGAGGAAACGTGAAGGTGAGCTGTCTGGGGTTACAGGTGCCGGCCAGCTCACAGAGCACTGTCCCCAGAGTCAGTCTGGTAACTGGGGGTGTGTGTGGCCTTCCCAGGGGCTGTCAAATCAGTGAGGCCCGCTCCAAGGCTGGGCGTCAGCAGGC